TAGTCCTTTACTATTTCTTTTCCAGCATTTTAGCTAACTGATTTCTAAGCTAGTCTTTCACTTTTCATTTCTTCCTTGCTTTCTCCTGTGTTTCTCCCTTTTTTCTTCTCTTGGTAGTCCTTATTTCTGAATACTTTTTAGTTTGTCCCCTTATTTTGCTAATTTGATTCTTTATATTACATGGACGATAAACATTAATAATTTTTATTTTATTTTCAGTTTATATTTCTTTTGGTTTCTTTGCTGCAGGTTCACTTGCTATTTTCTATTGTAATGATGGGGAAAGATTAAAGATATATTTGTTTTTGTTTTTCCATCTACTATTTTCTAAGCTAACTAAACACTTTTTTACTAGTGGACTGAAAAAAGGGCAAAAAGGTTTCAATTTTTTTTTAAGGTACAACCACATGTGGTCTCTACAAAATAATAGTCTAGGTCCATGGCCATCTGAAATCGGCAATTACAACATTTTTTAATAGGGATAACATTTTTTAATAGGGATAACATTTTTTATTGCGAAATTTGTTAAAAATCTGTCAAAATTATGTTTTATTTCTTTTTCACACATACCTCGCGATATCTCCGGAACTAAACAAGATATTTTCAACTTTTTTTTTTTTTAATCGGCAAGAGAAACGTAAGCGGAGATTACTGCTTTAGTTTCATTAATATAGAAAACCTAGTTTTTTGTAAAACTAGACAAAACTTTAATCTTTACTTTTTTGCAGCACTATTTTCAGTAGAGAAACTTTTTTATTTTTTAAAATTTCGCTGCGTACCAAATAAAGCTAAAGCTTCAAGAACGTTTTTAAAACAAGAATCGTTATTATAAGTATCATAGTTTTTGAGCAATAAATACGCAAACTTGAAAGTTTCTGCAGCTGCGTTTAATTATTGTGCTTTCTCAGACATCTTTCTGCGTCCCGCATACGCATAATGCGACCTGTCTATTCCTGACAAATTTGGCGATAACTTGATTTAGTTGCTAACAAACAGTCTTTGTTTTAACTGCGACTAGTAGTAGGGTAGATATTATTTTGCATGTGTATTTGTGTCTACTGAGATTTTTTTTTGTAAACGATGGAGTGTTTATTTTGTGGTCAGACTTTGCAAGAAAATGACAAACTTGTGACGCAAAATCCGAGATTGAAAGGAATAAAAACAATTATATGTGCTGCAGAAAAAAGGAAAGACACTTGTTCTCAAAAGATTTTGCATCAATAGGAAGCCATTCTAGAAAGTAAAATTTCATAAAACTTGCAAACAAACATTTATTAGTTCACAAAATATTGGTTATGTTTCTCAAAGCAGTGAAACCGAAAACGCTTCATCGTCTCGGACAAGATATCCTAAAGTCGGATTTAATATTCGGCAAATGTGTCAATTTTATTGTTGTTCACTAATAGTTTGTTCTTAAAAACTTTTATTTACAATTTAAATTAATATGATACAATTTAACTTGTTGTTTACAAATTACTAATTACGATCTATACTATACTAATTCTAATATCGTTCTGAACGCTGTGTTTGGGCTCTCCTTCCTTTTATAGGTTTCTTAATAAGTGGTTCATTAACTTAACGAAGCACGTGTTGTCGTAATGGCTGGGATGATAACCTAATGCGGGTTATCAATTGGTGGCTACATAACTTGTCTAATATGTAACAGATCTTGAAAGAAAGGCCAACAGCGCTTAACATTTATGCATACAGTTAAGTTAATTTTTTTTTTTAATTTTGTAAAAATATAATGATAAATGACTGTAAAAGCTAAGTTACGTCCGTTTAAAAAATCTTGATTCACATTTTTAATAGGAAATTATTTACTAAACTGAAAAATACTGATTTAGGAAAAAACTTTTTTCTTCGCAATATTTTTTCTCATTAACAATTATAACCGTTAGATATCAAGTAATATGCTGTTATCTGTTGTTTTTTCTTATTTAGGAACCGGCAAAAATACTTGCTCCAATATAATCAAAGTTGTCCAAAAACGACAAGATATTGACAAGTTTTCTAAATTAGCTGGTTATGAGGACCTTTTTACCTATGATGCTAAATATCACAGAAGCTGTTATTGTCAGTACATTGGTAAAGGAAACATCACAGCTTGTTAAAATAAATCTGATATTTCCACAACTTTGCAACCATTAAGAGATGAAAGTATATTATCAGACTCAACCAGCTCAGACTCCACTGCCGCTTACAACGAAGATTTTCAGGTTATTAAAAAGAATGAAATCCTTATTTTACATAAAGCGGCGGGTGTTTTAAAGAAAAACAGAGAATTTGATATCCCAAAAAGCCAATTTTTTTTCTCAAGAACCAGTGCTTGATGATTGTTCCAGGCCTTACTGGTGGAACATCAGTGGTCATCAACCACTTAGGGTTTGATAATAAGCCAACCAATAATATACACACTAACGACATGAAAAGTCTGTTTTTAAAAAAGGGGCAGTATTTACGGATTCCCTAGTTACCTGTTGCATTGAGGTTCAGTAAAACTCAATTAAAAATTAACTTTCAATGTATTAAAATTAGTAAAGATCACAAGTACAAAAGAACAAAAATTATGTTAAAATACAAACAACCTTGTGTAATGAACAACCTATTAATAAAGTGGTAAAAACTAGAACCAGTCAATTAAGTTGTTAATACCTGCACTCAATTGTAGCTATTGGAATAAAAACAGTCAAAACAATACTATACGTGTTTTGTAGATCATGCACCTGATCCACCGTTTAATCCAGTTACGGCAGCTCCGCAAGTGGCCCACACGCAGCGACACAGTACACCATATCAGTGAAGCGAAGCACCATAGACCAAATGTACAACCTCAGACAGGTTCAACTCTAGAACCACCAGGCGCTCCAACGTGGTTACTAAAATGCCTTGAGGCACTCAATACGGCACATAACTAGCCAAGAAGAGCCAGAATTGTTTAGAAGCGCAAATATAATGTCAGAAAATTAATTTTGACTTGTTACTTCAACATTTCTTAGTTGCCCCATGCAACTATGGATTTTACAGGGTGGTAGTGCCAAAAATTAACAATTTAATTATTATGACTAAAGGTGACTAATATTTAACGTAATATTATACAAAGAGTTAAAATAAAGACAAATGTAGCCAAATGTTGTGAGGTTTCACAACAATGATATAAGAACAATTTTGTCTATACGATGTTCAGACAAAAATTGCAACAATAATAAATTTACCTGCATTTCACAAGGGTTAAAATGCTGCAGTGACTGCAAATATACAAACTGCTGTAACAGCCTAACCTATGAAATTTTATCAGACTGCGAAGATGAAGACTTTTAAAATATGTTTTTTGTTATTTAGTTTAATTAGTTTTATAATTTTTTGTTTAATGTTTTTGCGATTTTTTTAGAGACCATTGAGTTTTTTTTTTGTTTGACCAGATATACCTATTAAATAATGTCAAATAATGGTCAATATAAATATCTTTAATTTAAGTTGATATAAAAAGAGTTTACTCGTGCGATGAAGATATTTGTAATAATAAAATTTCATATTGTTAATCTAAACTAAAGCAATAACTAAATTACAACTTTTTTAAAATGTTTGGGAACTTTTATTAATTTACAGGTCACAGGTAAAATTAAGTTGGCGCCCCCACAATAACGCTAACAGTATTTTTAGCAAGTGCACGGCCGCGGACGGCGCGGTGGCCCATGGAGGTGCGGAACCTTGTAACTTCAAGTAACTATTGCTTGAAAACTATGACACTTAGAATAGTGATTATTGTTTTAAAGACTTTCTTAAAGCTTTAGCTTTATTTGGTATGCAGATAGTTTTGTGAAATTTTAAAAAATAAAAAAGTTTCTCGGTTACTGAAAATAGTGCTGCAAAAAAGTAAAGATTAAAGTTTTGTCTAGTTTTACAAAAAAACTAAGTTTTTTATACTAATGAAACTAATGTAATCTCCGCTTACGTTTCTTCTTCCGATTAAAAAAAAAAGTTAAAAATATCTTGTTTATTTCCGGAGATATCGCGAGGTATGCGTGAAAAAGTAATAAAACATAATTTTGACAGATTTTTGACAAATTTCGCAATAAAAAATGTTGTCCCTATTAAAAAATGTTGTAATTGCCGATTTCAGATGGCCAGGGACCTAGACTATTATTTTGTAAAGACCACATGTGGTTGTACCTTAAAGAAAAAATTTAAACCTTTTTGCCCGTTTTTCAGTCCACTATACGGCAAAGAGATCATCCACTCAATTTTAAACTTAACTTGATCACTTTCTTCGATTATTAGCTTGCTTTTCCCATTAATGGCACTTTTATTGTGTGACGTTGCCGGTTTTAATGCTTCAACTAATATTTACCTTTCGTCTCTATTTTCGTGAAGTCGTCACATATTAAAATGCCTAAATTTATTGATTTTTTACTATTTCGCAAAACATCTAGCTTCTTTTATTGTAATTGTTGTAAAGAAAAGGAAGATGGGACACAGGATATCTCTGTTTCTTCCAATTCTGTATGCGTTGTTATTTTCAAGGTTTACTTGAAAAATATTTAAATAATTTTTCTTGATACTATTCTGCTTCTTCCTTAATCCCATATTATAATAAAATTGTTGTATTCGTTTTGTTTTCTAATAACTTTAAGTTTTCATTATAGCCTTTCATTTTAATTCTCTTAAATTGCTATATTTTCTTTTAAATTCTTATTTTCTTTACTGACAGTTTAAAAGTTTTTTTTTATTTCATTTTGTACCTTGCCTATTGTTTTAACCAATTTGTCATCTTATTTGTATTAGTTTGCAACGTAGGTCTGAAGATGGCCATATAGGCCTAAACTGGTTACAAAACGTACTTACTACATCATTGTGGTGCTTAAATAAACAGTAGTTTAAAAAAAGTGAATTTGTGAAGATGTGTATTTTATTATTGCTTCAATTGAATCAATATGATTATATAAGCCGTAAAACTAGACATTAACATTGGTAGTAATTTCCTGTTTACGTCAAAATACCCAGAAACTGATAAGGTTGGTCTAAGTTCTACTACCAGAGCGGAAAATTCACTTAATTGCTGCTTCAGAAATTCGTCTTCAATATTTAGTTGCAAAATATGTAGGAGTTTGATTATTTTGTAACCGGAATTTTCAATTATATCTCCTGATATTGCGATTATGATGGTCAAAATCTAGAAAGAAAAAAAAAGCAATGGTTAGATATAATTCCAAAAATAATTTTTAAAGTTGGAAACAAACTCGAATTAAACCTTTTTAAGGATTAAAATTTAATTTTCTCTACAGAATTATAATTTAGTTAGCGAAATGAATGTAAACTCAAAACAAAACACTTTATTGATAGTAAACTTTTATTAAAAAATATACAATGAGACTAATTGAAGACCTTGGTGCAAGAACCGACTAAATCCAGATATATTTGAATCAAGGACAAGACCTTTACAAGACAGACACACAAAAAGGACAAGCCTTCGGCAAACACTTTCAAACAATTTTCAGAAATAATTTCAGAAATAACGATCATCAAAACAATATCGAAAATATAGTTAAAGACCTAAGTAACACAGGGCCAGTACACGTACTCCACTCCTTTTATACTGTCACGATTCGTATAAATTCATATTTTTCCTAATTTTAATTAATTATTTAAATAACATCCTGTACATAAAACTTTGTTTAATTATGTCAACAATTTGTTTTAAATAGCAATAATGTGCAAGGTTGGTTATTTATTAATTATGAAACATTAGTTTTAATAACAATAAACTATGAGAAAGTTATAAAGGTAATGTCGAGGGGATGCAGGAGGCTTTTTTCCACAGGGAACGGATCCTCCCCATAGGAGGTCCCCCTTGTAGGAGATTCCCTGTAGCAGCTCCAGCTTAGACCTTCATAGTCTAATTTAAAAGTCTATTTTGTATGTTGAAAAATTGCGTTTTAATAGTCGGGCAAGAGTTGTGACGTGTGTCCCAAATATTGATGAGTTGGTAAGTCTAAGTTTTATGTATTGTGTACTTATTATTACTTATTATTATATTGAGCCCGTATTTGTGTATGTCGAGTTAAGACATATTTTGTATAATCGTTGTAATTTTAATATTATATTTGTTTTGAGAAAACATTGTGTTTCCTTCAGCCCTTTTACAGAGACGTGTCAGGTTCTAACATCAAGAGTAGAACCCTTATACAGTTAAGGGCTACGAAGCCAAGTTTAAGGCTAAATAGTGTGTTTGTGATTGAGGCCCAAATTCATATATTTTGTTATTTAACCCCCGGGACATAGATAGTCCCATAATTATTTAAAACACGTAAATTGTAACATTTTCTTTACGACGTGACATGGTGGAGGTGCCTAGCTTCATTCCAGAGGTTTTCTTCTTCATAAGAACCCTCAAGTACCACAATTTTTTCTGAGCGTATTAATAAAGATTCTGACTTGTTCTTGTTTTTTGCGGTATTCTGTGTTTTTAGCACATTTTCTTATTTGTATTTGGTATTAGATTAGAGAATCTATTTTACTGATATTTTTTTGTCCCATTCATTCCTTGTATTGAGTATAGTGACTATATTTTTATATAATTGAAAGTTTTTGTCTCTTTGGGAGCACAGAGGTTTTCAAAAAAGAAATATAGATTTTTTTATTTTTTTGATCAATCGCCAAAATGCATATATTTTTATACACAAGTATGGACAAAAGATTCCTAAATTTAATTGAAATTTATTAATATTTATTTATATTACAAATATAATGTTTTCGACTTATGTAATTTTATTAAATATAAGTAGGCCATGTATAATTATTTCGCATGGATTAAATATCGTTTTGTTGTTGATTTTAATAACTCTAAACAAAAGAATATTTTTATTTAGATTAATAATTTATTTAATAATACCTACAAGTAATTATTAACTGGGTCATCGAAACTCGATATTTTTGTAATAGTGCTGTTTTTTATTTTTTTAAGCAGAGATTATTTAATTTTTTTTTGTTTTATTGGATCCAATAAAATTTTCATTTCGAAAAATTATGTTTAAAAACCTATTTTTTAAAATATTTAGTTATAAAAAAATAGAGATAGCTTTGTATTACTGTAGGTAATGATTTTTTCTACGGTTAGAATGTTAATTGTATTTATTTGTGTTATAAATGCCTTTGACGTTTCCTAATTCTAGAGGTAATAATTTTCTAAAAGGAATGTGTATTAGTTTTTTCTATCATAAAAGGTATTGGGCAAATTGTCAGTCTTTGAGTTCTGATTTTTGAATGGTGTTAATCGCAATACATTTTATTTCTAAACGTTTTGATTCTTTAATTCTACTTTTATGAGTTGCCTTTCTTAATTTTTAATTTTCTAAAAGGAATGTGTATTAGTTTTTTCTATCATAAAAGGTATTGGGCAAATTGTCAGTCTTTGAGTTCTGATTTTTGAATGGTGTTAATCGCAATACATTTTATTTCTAAACGTTTTGATTCTTTAATTCTACTTTTATGAGTTGCCTTTCTTAATTTTTGATACCTATATCTTCGGTTTTTTTATGGACCACGGATGATTTATTTCGCAATTTCATAATTATTTTCATACAATGTGTTAGTTCGTTTTTAGTTAGCATCTCTTTAACTTTTTTTGTTTCGTTCTTCTCTCAAATTTCTGTTAAGACTTTCGATTTTTTTATAAAATTTGGAATTACAATATAGTTATTTAAATCGAAAAGATATTTGCTGTTTATATAATTTATTAATTGATAAGAGAATAAATTATATTTTTCTTCTGTGTCCGAAATATGCAATTTTAAAAGAGTAATTTTTCTTTTGGAACTAACCCGTAATGTGTTTCATGAAATTTAGGAGATTGTCGATGACAGGTTTAGGTCTTGATTTGTATAGGCAATAATATTAAATATTGCGTTGTTGGTCGTCAGTTAGATTAGACTTTGTAGAATGATTTAAATTAAATGCTGAGAGTATTTGAAAATAATTTTAGAGAGTTATACTTTTAAAATATAATGTACCTATATGTTGTCGAATGAATATTTTTTTTTTTTTTACAAAATAACTAATTTGTTCTAAAGTAATTTTTGGTAAAGTTGCGTATATTTTTCTTTTAAATTGATAAGTATTTTCTAGTTTTGTTTAATATTTCATCTATATCATGTATTTTTAGATCGATACTAAAAGGGTTTCGATATCTTCAACATATTATTATATACGAAAACAGAAAGGTACTTTATGAACAAAAAATAAACTGTGCTTTATATATAGGTTTATGAGGGTTGATTAGATATAAATATTAGTACCTAGATTGACATTTTTTTTATGCTGATAGATAAGTGTTATCAACTACTCAAGTGAAAATTGCCCACAATTACTTAAAAGCTCAAAAAAGGTCCTGGAAAAACGAAGAACAACTGGAAAATGTTGAAGGGGCCATATTGAAGAGTAAAACTACAAAATTTGAAGTTGGAAACCCAGCAAGAGTCGAAATTAACTGCAGGATAAATTTGAAACGCATCCTACGAGCTGTATAGTTAAAAAGGCAAGTAATATTATTTTATAAAAAATATGAGGAATAAAAGTCAGAATAACAGTTGAATGAACCTAGTATGTTCAAACTCATTGCCACTAAATGGAGTGGAAGGTTATAGAGCGCAATAAGGGTCAAAAATAATTGTATAAATTTAAAATGTGTAGGAAACAGGGTCAAAATAAAAAATGAATTTAAAACAAGTTGTTAATTTTGTTATGACCCACAATATAGACATAAATTCTCAAAAGGAGACTGAAATTGCCGAATTAAGGCAATACCATGTGTACAAAGTTGTGCACATTTATAATGATTTTCATAAAAAATATGAGATAATGAAGAAATAATGTGGAGCTTGAAAATAAGCTAATAAGTTGGTGAAAAAAAAAATCACCGTGGTTTTGTACGTTTGTACGTACATTTATGGGACGGGAGAATTTGGAAGATGACTGTTGTACAGTTGAAAATTCACCTTTCCCCAAATATATTGAAAACTACACAGAAAGATATGAGTGCAATGTACGATTGAAGTGAATTATTTCTCTGCATGTATGTAATTCAATGCCCGTCGTCGGCATATAGCCGGGGGAGTAGTTGTTTTCCCTACAGATATGGTCACTTTGTAATTTTGTTTGTACGATAATTTATATCGAATATTTAAATGGGGAGGAACGCTTGGAAAAATGAATGAGAGTTGTATGAGTTTTCCTAGTCCCTGGTAAATATTAAATAAATGTGTAGTAAACAGAAAATGCCTACCTATAATAAAATAATTCATGACCCTAACGGATGGCTGAATGACGAGCAAACTTTTTATGAGTGTACTAAGTGGTAATGAGTTTGGTAATAAAATCTATTAAAATCAAGTTTACCAACAAGCAATAGAGCACAAACTCTTATAACATTTGTTTGTATAAAAAAGAAGCCTGACAGCTGCTCAACAAAAGCTTTTAAATTATAAATATATTAAAGTCAAATTTGAATAATAATAATAATAAGTAAAAAATACTTATTTATTGCATTCTAGTAAGTAATTCCTGCATAAAAGTAGAATAACATACAACATTTTTCAATTCACTTTTAAATAAATAATGTCAAATCCATTTTTTCTTAAATTTTTATATAGTTCAGAATTTTTTTGTCTTGCAAAATAATAATACATCAGCATATTAATAGTATATATAGGTATTCTAAAGCTAATAATAACAAGATATAATAAATTTAAATTTTCTCGACAAGCACAATTAAATACATATTATTTTTATATTAAATTTTTAAATTGAATTTTAGTTAGATTGTAATATTATAAGTCATGTACTGCCTTTCTGTTTTCTTTGTTCCATGTATCGGGCGACACCACACAACGAAGATTTTGGATGGACCGTGGCACCTACCCCAGACGCGAGGATGATGAATTCGGGCCAGTGGCCAGTACCTAAACTTCTGTCATAGACGATAATAGTCCTCTCCACCAGCCATATCACATAGTAGGCAAATGATGAATTGCGAAATTAGAAACGATGACACGTAACCTCGGCACTGGAGATCCATACTATAAAATGTGCTGGTCAGTGTCGTAATATGAGTATGTGGTATGAAAAATATATACCGGAGATGCCATGGAAGATAAATAAACGATGCCAATACAATCG